ATCTCTCACTCTCTGCTCTTTGAATTGAGAAAGCTCCTCGGATGAGGAGCGAAACGTCTTCTGTTACAAATAAAGTCCAGTTGTTTTTGTATTGAACGCTTTTTGAATTCTACCATGCAGTAATTCTCCAATAGGAGGCTCGGACCTGTTTGATGAGTTAAATCCAGGTGGAGACTTTATATTTTTGGCCAGGCAGTGTACAAAATAAATTTTAAACAAGTAAATGCTAAACAAACATAAGCTTTTGTTAAATAAACCTGAACTAATGCTAAACAAATATGAGCTAATGCGAAAAAGATGACTCGTTGCCAAATATACCTGAGTTAATGTTAAAGAAACTTGAACTGATTCTAAATAAACTTGCACAAATATTGAATACGCTTGAAATAATGATAAAAATCTTCAGCTAATGCTAAATAAACTTAAGCTAATGGTATATAAAATGTGAGCTAATACTATTTAACTGCAACCCATTGTTATGAAATAATGACCCTATTGACGCACTGAAGATGCCCGTTACATTGATGACAGTGTTTCTGGTTCATATTGATGAACCAGTGACCCACTTTACCTTTAAGAAGGTGGCCCACTAGAGCAAAGTTAAAGTTGGCACTAAAGTTGAGACCCACAAAATGATCCATCTGCTTGCAGTGCCATTCCAAAGGACGCCTGATCTCCATAAACACTTCCTCTGGACTCTGAAAGAAACAAACAAAGTCCAAACTGGTAAAATTATATTGACAACTTTCTTTTTTAAATTTTTTTAATAGAAACTCATTTACATGTGTGCACTAGAGGATGACATTTTTTCGGGAGTACCGCGGATCACGTGATTCCGGCCTGATTCTGGCGGGACCGGAGTCAACCTCATTATAACTCACGTGACCGGGACGTGACCGGACTGAAAGCTAACGGGAGCAGACAGGAGTGGGAATCGACCAATAACCAACAATGAAAATGAAACAAAAAAAAATTTAAAAAAATGGCACTGCTATTTTGTAGTTTTCTTTCAGTAAGCCTTCACTTTAACACAAGTTAAAAGAACTGCATTTCCCAGAAGTCAAAACACCGTCACTTTTTTCCGAGAGGGTGGGAGGAACAGCGAAGTCTCCAGCAAAGAAACCGAATGGCTGAAATAGTTTGCAACACAAGGTAAGAAGTAACTGTCTGTCTATTAAACTCACAGAACGGGCAGGAAAGTGTCAAATAACCATAAACTTCATGAGAGTTGTTTTTTCATTCATTCATTCAACCTTTATTTAAACAGATAAATCACATTGAGCCTCAAAGACTCATTTACAAGTGAGACCTGTTTGGACAGACAAAAAACAGTGGTTAACTGGACACATGTAGGAGTTGGAGGAGAAAAAAATTCCTATCAGACTTTTTTCTTGGCTGAGAAAAAGCCCCT